GTGCACTTCCTTTGTACTTGACTGTAGATGACTAATAAATAGGTCCCCTTTAAACCTCTACCTCTGTTTATGTAGTTAGTACAGTACCCTGCAGTGAGTCCACTTAAAGCGTTTAAAGTGCAAAAGACATTTCTGAACTTTACTAATTTTACTCAATTATTCTTTAGCTTTGGTGTTAATACAGGCCGAGTTATTCAGGTTGGTTCTTTAGTGTTTTCCCTCATCTGCTGGTTCCAGCTGGAACTGTGCTTAAAGCCACATTAGTGGGTTCATGCAGAGGAGGGCAGCAGTGTGCCCCTTATGACACACTGTAGTATTCCTCAGAACCCACTCTACATCTTTTTCTTCACCTAACAAAATTCAATGTCGACCCCATTCTGCAATTAGTTTATTCTTATAAAATAGCAATCGAGCTGTAATTATTTAAGCTAAGACTGCACCAAACTGGCATCAGTATTACCATTTTCCGGGGTGGAAAACAGCCTACTTGCACTGGACACCGTCTTCCCGATGTCAGCCAGAGAGCGCAGGTTGGACTTCTTGGTCTGGTGGCGATGTTTCCGCAGCAACGTGTACATCACCTTGTCCTTAAGTTCGGCCTTCAGCTGGCCGATCTCTATCTGGTTGTCAGTGATCATCTCTGAAAATGCAGAAAGAGACGAGGAAGAGAAGGTGAAAAGCTGAGTTAAAGTTTAAATGCAGGCTGTAAATACTCTGCATTAAAGCAAAGGCACTGTGGCTGCATTTTTTAAATTACTGCTTAGTTTCTTGAGCTTTAGGATTAATTAGGATTTTAGAAGAATTCAGAAGAATCCAAAGAAAAAAAATTATAAATATATAAACAAAACATGAAATTTAACATCTTAGAATTAATAAACACTTTTTTGCAACATGAACAAAAATAAAATATTGTTTTAAGTTTATTGCAAAGGTGCCACCTGTTTCAAGTTTTATAAATTAAAAGATGAGCACAAAGGGTAAAATTATATTGTGCTGTTCTGTCAAATGACACTTTAATTTGGGGTCTCTTTCGTTCCCCACCCTGCAGCATTTTACTCAAAAAGGTAGACTTAGCAACACTATCACCCAAAACAGGTCACCATAAAAGTCTCTTCATACTTTAAGGACTCAATTAGTGCCTCCCAGACTCTAATGCTCCTCTTTATGGCATCATGAAATGGCTCAATCAAAAGGTCTAGTCTATTTTTGAAAAGAAGGTCAGAAGCCTGAATGCTGAATGAAAGCAGCCCGGGGCATTTCCTCTTCTTGTGTAAGGGTAGTGCTGTTAATGGCCTATCAGTCAAGTCAGCAGGCCTCAGAGCAAGAGGTCCAGCTCCACTCCGCCCAGTGCAGCTCACGCAGCACAGACAATTACTTCACATTAATCACTCCAAGTGGTAACTCTTCTTCCTGCTCCCTCATGCAGACAAGAATGTTGGGGTGGTGGCATGAGATAGGAGGACACAGAGATATAATCATCTTAGAGCAACTGGAGAAGGTTAGCTGCCCTCAGATTAGGAAGTTTTTGTGTGGCCATTTAGTCCAAACTATAGTCAACTAGTGCTTTAATGTAAAGTACAGCGTGGCCTGCAACTCAGCTCTTTTCTCGCTCTTAAAAGACGGGAAGGAAAAGAAACCTCAGAGTGTTTTGATGCGCATCAATCCGTGAAGCTGCCGACCTGCTCTGCACACGCTGCACATCACACAGCTGATTTAATCAAGCTGGCAGACGGGCTGTTGTTTCAGAGCAGGAAGATGCTGACCTTTAGTATCGTTACGCAGCAGTAAAAAATAGTGATGTGTAAGGGGGATAAAAACGAAACGATCAAACCGCAGAAAAAA